CACCTGAAAGTCTGGCTGCAAGTTGCCCATATTGGCATCACCTGATGTGGCAGCTTTGTTGTCCCCCAACCAGCTAAGGAAAGAGGATCTTCTTTCTTTATGCAGCCACCAGAACACTTTGCCCAGCCCACATGGGCTTGATGGTAGCTTACATTTGTGGGGCTCTTGGGAAGCAGTAAGATGATTGCATTGCCTTGGCAATAGGATGTGCAAAACACTAAGCTGGGCATACTGTCACAAGGAAAAGCCCTGTGTTATTCCATGAGAATACAGTGTCCACATGAGTTCCACGGTAAAGAAAGCCAGAAAATCTATTTTATGCCTAAGGGGTAATACTTCCACCTCATTTTCCTCTTCTCCCCCAGTCTCAAGGTTTATACTGTGCCCCAGAGACTTCACTATTAGGAACCATTTCAAAAACTGGAACTTTCTTTAAATATCACCATTTTCTCCTCCATCCTACTTGAATTCTTCATTCAAGGGTAATTGTGAGTACTAAATGAAGAGGAAGAAACTATGTGCCTTTACTTTCTCAGAGCGATTTCTGTTATCCTGTGCAGTGCTCATTACCAACTCCAACCCACCATTACTTCAGAAGCCATTACATTCATTATTAATAAGAGCCCTCCAGCTAACTTTGCTCCCTTGCAGACATTATTCTTGTTTCAAAGGTTATCGTGGCATTCGCTCACTCTGCAAAGAGCATGTGGGACTTCTTCCATTCCTTTGCCCAGACTGACCTTTTTCAGTTCAAGTACACCTGTATCAATTCACCTGCCTCTTTGAAACAGAGCTGAAACTGATGCAGTCAAAAGGAGACAAAGCAGTACAGCACTTTCAGGGGTTTCTAGTTTTCTACTGTCACATCTCTGGAAGTAGTTTAACTTTATTAGCTTAAGGGATGAATAAAACATCTGATACATACTTAAAAATGAATCCACTTAGATCCTGCATGATGGAGCTAAAACCTTTCCAAGGTCCCCAGTGGGGACCCAGACTGTCCACCTTCCCCAAAAACCTGCATCATTTGGTTGCCCACAATATGAGTAAACCCTGCATTTTACACTGAATATCAAGAGAATCTAAGTAGAGGTTGAGACTAGGGTCAGAAACTGAACCCAGGCTCTTCAGACTGAACCCAGGCTCTTTGGATATTTCGATTCCCTGAAGGTCTAGCAAAAATTCCAAGCACCTCTCTGCATCAAACCATATGTCTGTGATCAACACATACTCATCTCTTCCTTATGCCAGAGCTTTTTCAGTCCAGGTTTAACTTCCGGAGAGGTACAGAGTGTGCTTATTCAAGATGCTCATAGGACAGATGAAGCAGCTGGAGCTCAGCCCCAAGAAACTGACCTATTGCTTAAGACGCATGGTACCCCCCTTTGCAGATGAGCAGTCCAATTATGCCATAGAATCATATCATAGAATGGTTTGGGGTGGAAGGGACCTTAAAGCCCATATAGTTTTACCCCACCTGCCACGGGCAGGGACACCTTCCACTAGAGCAGGTTGATCAAAGCCCCATCCAACCTGGCCTTGAACACTGCCAGGGATGGGGCAGCTGCAGCTTCTCTGAGCAACCTGTGCCAGTGGCTCACCACCTTCACAGGGATGAACTTCTTCCTTAGATCTAATTTTAATCCACCCTTTGCCAGTCTGAAGCCATTAGCCTCTGTCCTGTCACTACATGTCCCTGCAAAAAGTCCCTCTCCATGTTATCCCTGTCATTGCCCTTCTGTTAACACATCCATGGGACTCTGGATCTCACCTAGAGGGACATATTTGATATTTTCTATTGATTCCTGTTAATTGAAAGACATCTCATCCCACTGAGAGGTCATCCAATATTTCAGAGATACAAATTTGGCACCTGATTCAGTCTGATTTTAACCTTTGGGTACTTACACCTAGTGTGGTATTTCTGGTTATTATTAAAACTGTTTATCATGTTGCTTAGTTGTATTGTAGAAACTCTTCAAGGTTACAGACACAGCAAGGGCGTTATTGCATTTGATGTTACACCAAGAGCTGGCCATATCCTTCCTCCATTGAGGATACTTTCTGTACAGTTTCTCCACTGAGAGCAGTGGGTATACTTGCAGGCTTAGAGTTGGTAAGTCCTTTAAGGAGCTTAAAAAAGAAAAAAACACAGCACCAAAAAAAGCGAGGGTGAGTCGTCCTTGTATGGGCATGGTTGCAAGCAATATCTGGAATACATTTGGGCAAGACAAGCAATGAAGAGCTGGATCCATGCCATGATTCCATATGGAGACTCACTCTATCCAACTGATAAAAATTGTCTTGTTCTTCTCCTGCATTACTGAATCTCTGTGTATTGATCTCATTGGTCTTAGTCTGCTCCCTAAAAGAACAAGGCTTATGTTTCATATGCTATATCCACATGCACGAGTGTGTGTGGATATCTGTGTCTATATATATCTCTCTATTTTAAGTCTTTGACCAATTTCACCCATAAAGCCAGACAGTTTGATGAATGACCCTACAAGTCTTATAAAAGGAAATGACTGGGAAAAGAGTCCCCAGGCACACCATGACTGAAGGGAAAGCTGCAACACAAGCTCAGTCCTTAAAGAACATAAGGGGATCTGAAGGGGAGGGAACTTATAAGCAACACAGTCAACGAAAAGCTTTGGTTAGGCTTTGCAAACAGCTATAAGGGGAAAAGCACTGAAAATGAGATTGAGGGAGTGATTTGTTTAATCCTTAGGTAGTCACAATTGGGAGTTGTTTCATTCTGCTTCAATACAGCTTTTGACACGAGGCTCTGGTTCTGGACAGTGCAATAAACACAGATAAATCATAACAGAAAGTCATGGAGCAGCATGCTGGAAAACCTTTCTGGTTTCAGGGCAGTTGACCTATGTCTGTGCACATGCAGCTTCAGGCTTCCTTTACCAATGAGAATGAATTCATGTAATCCTGTTGCGTGTGAGTTTCCAGTCCTGGAGGTTGATGTTTAAATGCAATAAACAATTGTGCTGTATTTATTCCTCCTTTTGCATTTTCATGAAAGCATTCATCTTAATTGCAAGCATGCAACTTTGGGTTATGGTTTTGTTTTCTTTTAATAATGAAAGGAAACAAACGTTGGTGTGCAACTGACAGGGGAGGAAAACACTAGGCAAGCTCAAATATTTAAATGAATTCAGAAGTTGAATAACCCATAGAAAAAAAGAAAATAATGCTGGGTTTTGAAAACTTTATCAGTGTGCTAGGAGGATCCCAGGTCCTTCAGTGCTTATAAGTGCCCTTCTCCTTGCTGTAATACTCACCCTGTATTAAGTGGGATTCCTGCATGGAATTAGGGATGTAAGCCTCCTTGCAGATGCTTTAGACAGGATAAGAAACTGTTGGGTTTGTAACTTTTCAGCAAATGACAAAAACTTAAATAATTCAGCAGGGCCCTAAAGAAAGATGTCCAAGTACTTTTGCTTCTAAGTAAGGCTTGCTAAGCTTTTACAAACACTGAGAATTCATTGGAACTCTTTCTTCCCTGCCACCACAACCTTTATGCCAATCGATTTTGATTAAAAAAAAAACAAACAAGGAAGATGGTGGAAAGGCAGTGTCTCAGGGAGGAAAAAGCACCACCTCCCTGAAAGGCAATTGTTGGCAGCAGGTGACTGGGGCAGGCTTTGTCCATCACTTCTGATGGGCAGTGTATGACACTTCCCCCTATGGAAATTCAGCAGCTGGGCTGGGAAGGCACATGTCATGTCTGCTGCTGGTCAAGAACTGTGACTGAGGCTTGTGTGCCACAGGACACAGCTGGAGGGGACAGTCCCAGCTGTGGGCAGGTACAGACTGTGATCTGCAGCACAGCTAGCTGTCCTCTGGATAGACGGCATGGAGCAGAGTTAAAAAAGAATCTTATTAGGCTCATTGCTGGCACTGGGAGGAACAGGGGCTGGCCTGGTGCCGACAGTCACAATCAGTCACAACAATACCACAGCTGCACCCATTGTATGGAGAGGCCTGTCTGGATGCAGAAGGCAGGGAGTAGTTAGTCTCTGTTAAACCCAGGGATTTATGAGCCTCAGGAGGGTCGGAAGTCCAAATCTGTAAGACTCCAGTTCCCTTACCACCACCAACACCTAGGGCAATAGGGCAGAGAATCAGAAGCCCCTTGGGCAAGTGTGTCAATGTGAATATGGCATGAAGATACAGCGTGACCTTGTTTTGCCTTTGCTTGCATAGGGGTCTAGCCTTTCAAGTATCCATAGATTAGAAGAGCAGGACAAATGTCTCCTGTTCAGAGACCAAATGCCCATGGAACTGTCACAGAGGCTGCTTTTGGTTTGCCTGGCTAGGAGGGTGTACATGTTGTGATGTCTTACAAGGCTTGGTGCTGAGGAAAAAAAGGCTTCCCATTCCAGCCAGGGAACAGCAAAAGGGATCCCCCACAGGCTTGGAAGGTGTGCTGATGAGTTCAGTGACCAACACATTGGAACCCTTTAGCTGGCTACTCAGGAAGCCTTGGAGACTAGCTCCTTATTATCTTAGAGGTGAAGAGCCTCACTCCTAGTAACATCGCATCTAGGGCTGGGGGGATGTGGTGTGTGTGTTCCCTTGCTCCTGGAGGGTTGGTAGGGGGTTCACATTGCACACAGCGTCAGGGAGGGTTCCTCATGCCTTCTCGAGGCTTATAGAAAGTCCACAAGGCACCTTGTGCCTGGGGGAGTGGGGAAAACTTGTTGCTCCTGAAAGTTTATGGACAGTGGAGTTAACATTGCACCTAACGTCTGGTGGGAAGAGGTGGTGGTGACGGAATGCATATTGCTTCTGGAGGATTGTGTGGTACCTGCATTGCACCTAATTTTGGACAGGAGTATCCACTGCACCTAGTAACTGGGCAAGGGGAATCCTCTTATTCCCGTAAACTTTGAGGCAATCGAATCCCCAATATATGGGGGGTGGTGGAAGAGGAGGATCCCCGTCATTTCTGGAGGCTTGTGGGGAAGGTGTTCTCATTGCACCCAGTGCTTGGGAAAGGGATCTTCATTGCACTTAGTGCTTAAGGAGGGCGTTACCCCATTGATTGTAGAAGACCGTGGGCAGCGAAGTCCCTATCGCGCTCAGCGTCTGGCGAAGGCGGGAATCCCTCTTGCGTTCAGTGCAGGGGGAGAGGAAGGTCTTCCTTGCTTCTGGAAGCTTTGAGGGTCGCTCTCCCCCAGCCGCCTCCATCCCGAGGCATCCTGGGCGGAGGGCGGGCTTGGCTCCCTCCCTCCCTCACGGGGGTTTGCCCTGGGACGCGCCGGCGGCGCTGGGGCTGGCTCCTCGGCGGCGGGCAGGGGTCAAGGGCAGCAGCGGGGGGGAGATGCCAGCGCCGGGCCAGCGCGGAGACTCCGGCTGAGCGGGCAGCGCCGGCCCCGGGGAGGAACCCCCCAGCCCCGGCGGCCCCATGGCGGGGCGGGCGCCGCAGCGCAGCCTCCCGGCGGCGGTGGCCGCCGCGCTCCTGCTCCTGCCCGTAAGTGCCGAGGCCGCGAAAGGGTGGTGCGGGGCAGGGAGGGCAGGGAGGGGGGAGCGGCGGACGCCGCACGAGCGCGGGGAATCCACTCGGTGTGTGCGGAGAGATCCGTCTCGGTGGCCGTCACCCGCGCCCTCTCAGGTCCCGCTCGTTCCGGGCTCTGAGAACCCGTCCTGGCGGCCGATACCCGCTTCCTGACAGATGCTGTCCGTCCCCGGGCGCTGCGGGACGGAGATCGTTACCGCTCCCGCATGGGTCCCGCCCGCCCCGGGTGCTGAGGAATCCGTCCGGGTGACCGTTGCCTGCTCCCTTACAGGTCCCATCCGTCTCCAGGCGCAGAAACACCCTCTCCCTGTGGCCGCTCCCCTATGTGTCCCCTCAGAGCCCTTGGGCTCAACCGTGGTCCTCCTTCACTGTGATACAGACTCCTTCCTGTCCCCTTTCCTTGCCAGAAGAGGTCCAGCACGGGGTCCCCACGGGTGTTCCAGCTCCCTACCCCAGAGGAAGGGAGTTTTCCTGCCACGGTTCAGCCGAGCACTGCGTGGCCATGGCTAGTGCTCGTTGTTCCCGGCTTCTTGCAGCATGTGCTCAACATCGGTAGCTCGCTCACCGCAGGGATCAGCCAACAGCAGTGGCGAAGGGCAGGGCTCAGCCCACGCATCCATCCAAGTATTTGCTCCCAGTTTCTTCTGAGTGAAATCTAAGGGAGGCTTTTCCTCCTGGTCCTTTTTTCCTCAAAAACTTCTCTCTGGGTGATGCTGGAGATAAGATTGGCCTGTGTCAAACTGGACTTCAAGCAGCTTTCCCAGCCTGCACTCCTAAGTCAGACTAACTTCTTTGGTGGCTGGTTTGTTTTAAGTGGTAGTTTCAAGTGTGGTAAATCATACCTGAGAAACAAACGCGAGATTAAGGAGGAGGTATATTGATCCTGCACAGAATTCATAAAAGCTGTTCTCCCAGCATGAAAAAGTGGCAGTGATCCTTCTGGACTGTGGTGTCACTGGCCCATCTTTAACATTTCCTACAAAGAAAATAAATCTGTTCTATTGCCTTATGTTCTTTTTTTTGTTTTGTTTTGTTTTGTTTTGTTCTGTTTTCCTCTCTAATTTACAAAGAAAGATAGAGGGAAGCCAGGTCAGGAAAAGGCTCCAAAAGCACGCAGCAATTTAATCGTAGAAGCATTGCAGTTTCTTAGAAGACAGAGAATATTTTCTCAGCTCTGCCAATGCCTTTTTTTCCCCAGAGATCAGCACATATGGGATCAGAGTGGCATGGTCTACACACTTGCTGTTTTAAATTCCAAACCAGTTCTTCCTAATCTTTGTTTCTTAGTCCCACTTCTCCTCCAGCCTCTGTTTTCCCATATTGATTCCTTTTGGTCCATAAAAATATTTCAGTTTATGATCAGAGAGGGGGACTTCCTGTCAATGAAGCGACGAAAAGTCCCCAGGTACCAAGAGCTGCCAGACTAGTTGTTTATCAGTGAATCAGAAAATGTGCTTCCTCTGTAGATGTAATCCATGGACAGTTTTCCAGTTCTTCTGTAACTTTGCATTTGACTTATTTCTGTACATTTTGGTAGTTACGTTGCTGCTTTAAAAAGAAAACAGCTGCTTTGAACGAAAGAAGAAAAAAGGTTCAGATTAAGAATCAAAATGTCAAGTTTCCATAAAATGCTTTTGGTCTGAGCAAAATGTGTACTTTGAGTGTATTTGTCCCTGCCCATGGCAGGGGGGCTGGAACTAGGTGATCTTAAGGTCCTTTGCAACCCTAACTATTCTATGATTCTGAGTGTGCTTAGAGAGGAGCTTGCTTGGATGTAGCATACTTGTGTCTAAAAGAGACTTGTGTGTACGCCTATGCAGTACATAGAAATAATACGTTGGAAGCTGATCTTCAGCCTCTTGTATAGAACAGCTCTTGTCGCTCCAGTTGTAGCAAACAAAACCAGAGCTTTTTCTGTTTTTTTGGGGTGTGTTTTCATTCCAAAATGTTGGTAAATCTTTACCTCTGCTTTATAGCTGGACAAAACTGCACTAAGGAGCTTAAGAGCAATGTTTTTAAAGCTTTGGCTCAAGTCCAAAGCTCTTAAATTCCTGTTTAACTTGAAAACACTTGAAAGTTGACTCGAAGTCAGTGGCTTTACTCGCATTTGTGGATTTGAGAAAAGGCATAGCTGCTTATGGGGACAGGCTGTTATGTAATTAAGGAAGCTTAGTTTTTCACAGCAGCTGAGCAGTTGTGGTTGACGGGAACTGCAGGTTTGCAACACCTATGAAATGAGGCAACTTTCTAGTACAGAATTGGATCAGCCACATGAAAACGCTGGTGCAAATGACCTGTCAGATTTCACAGGACTGGTCAGCCAAAGGGTGAAGACTTGCAGAGCAGGACCTGAGATTTATGTTCTCTTTAAAGGGTTTCTGTACATAGAATACACTGGAAAATGCATTTACTTAAATGAGAAAACAAACCATAAACAAAGGCAAATTAATCTTTTGGCATTTTGATAAACTGGCCTTACTGAATTAATGTAATTTGGAGGGGGGATTATTCATCAAAACCAAAAGCAAAGCTTGCTATAATTCATATGCTTTCCTGAAGCTGTTAACACAGCCAGAGCATTTTGAGTACATCATCCAGTGGTGACAAGTTGAATAATATTCCTGGTCTGAGACTGTCAAAACTCTGTCCTACTGGGAATTAATGCAACATAAACATCTCTTCGGGAGAAGCCTTTCCTGGTGTAGTATTTTGACAGGGTTTAAACTGTAGCCATCTTGTGGTAATTCCTGGATGTTTGAAGGAGGCAGTTGCATGCATGGACGAACAGCTGATGTTGGCTGGTGGTTTAGCCATGAAACATTTCAGTGGTATTCATAGATGCTGTTAGATGGAAAGAAAGCAGCCTTTAGCTTTTGTTCCTATAAGGCATCTTCTTACATATTATTATTCTGTCAAGACTGGAGGAGAAATAATGATTAAGTCCTCTGAATGCTGTGGCCTTTATGTTACAAACCAGAGTGCAGTTGTGCCTGCCATGCTTCTTGCATGCCCCTGTTGAATCTGGTGGAGCAAGATGGTGCAGGTATCAAAGAATGTGCTCTATCAGGTCTAGTTCAATTTCAGTCTCTAGCTCTAGTACATTAAAATTGTGAGGACAGCTCTTCAGCCTTCAGGCCAAATATCACAGTGTGGCTTGTGGCTATACTGTTAAGGTCCTTCAACTTCTAAAATGGGGAGATGTTGTGCAAGTTGCCGATTAAGAATGGTCTGTGGTGCAGCCTAACTCCCAGATTGTTCTGGGAACTGTGTGAGATACTGCTACATTGCCTGGGGCAAAAATGTGGCCAGGAACCATTCTAAAAATTTAACAGTATACATGGTTAAGTACTTAAACCAGACCTTTGCACTGTTTGATTTATTAGCTTAGGTGGAGTATGCCCTACTATGCTCAGGGCTCTCACTGACTGCCTCAGGGAGGCATTTTCCTCTAAGGCAAACTCTACACTGCTTCAAATTCAGCAGTCAGCTTTCTTTGTGTTAGAGATCGCTGTGGGATCCTGCTGGTGAGGTGATGATCTAAGATGAGAAAAACAAGGTAGTAGATTATATAAAAATTTTAGGGAAGTGTGTTTCTGTTTTCTTTTTATTCTCATTTTACCCTATACATTAGTAAACCAAGTATTAAAAAAAAATTAGAACAAACATTGGCACATTTTTAGATTTTTTAAAATAGTTCACAGATTTTATTTTTTGGGGGGAGGGAGGTGAGGAAATGTGGTGGGTGGTAAAAACAGGCTGCACACACACTGCTGAATTTGTTCCTTTTTAGTTTATGTCATTTTCAGGTTTGGAGGCTTTGGGGAAAAGCTGGTTTTAGATTAAAATTTTAAACCCTAAATGAGAATTTTGCAGTAGTTTACTTTTCCAGTCTGTGTCTGTAAATTGAAGCAGATAGATCAAATCTTGATCATGCACATGTCCTTCTTTCTTTTAACCTACACCAGTTTTAATCCCAAAAGTAGTCTGCTCTCAATTAAAGCACAAACATTGATTCTTATATGTAAGGATGGAGCTGTCCAGCGAGCCACATGGCACCTTCTGGCCTCGTGTAGATATGTAGTGATATGTATCTGCATGAAGCACTGCATAAACATTGTCTTTGCCTTCTTACCCTTCTGTTTGTAACAACCAGCCTGGACAACTAAATGCTTCCTGCTGGTTTTCTGTATCAAATTATTTCTTTATGTAGAATCTAACATTTTAATTTTTTGTGTGTGTCTTAATAGCTTTGAAAATAGCTGTATTTGATTTGAGCTGGCAAGTGTCATATAGAGAGCTTTATGTGGGGTTTTGGGGGTTTCTTTTGGTTTTGATTTTGTTTTCGATTATTTATTTTTTTTCCTCTGAAAAGTTGGATAAATTCTACTTTGGCCCTTATTACAAGAGAAGACAAATAGAAACTAGTTGTTTACCATTGCAATTAGTCAGCTAACAAACACTGTCCTTAAGATGAACGGCTGCTTGAATTTAATTAATCATGTCCAAATGTATGAAAACTTAATTTCCAGTTTCTGGTGCCAGTGTGAGGATAATTGTTTGATGCTTCCTACAGTGCTCTTTGATATATAGCACATCACGCTTTCATAACTACTAATCAGTTCTTTGGGTCTGGGATTGTTTGGGTGGGCTCTCACAAGCAGATGTTCTGCCAGCCCTACATGGTCTTGACAAAGGCTGTGCCGTTTGGGAAGTGCTGCGGAAGGGACAGTGGTGTTCTGAGAAAGCCTGTTCAGCGAGCTGGGTTTCAACATCCTGTCCTGACCTCATTGCTGTGCGAGTGAGCCCACGTTTGAGAGTCAGGTGCTGGGAGTGTGCTGCTCCTGCTGGCGCATGTCTTGTTCCCCAGACTGACAGCTTTATTGTGGAGCTAAATGGGTGGAGAACTTGGAAGCTGTCCTTCTCCAGGAATGATCAGTTAAATGGCACGTGTTTGC